TAATTGTTTTGCAATAGTCTTTAGTTCCTAGAAAATAATGTTTTTATCTATTCATATATATTTCTTACTGTTAACATTTTTGTCTTATTATCTTTTCTGTATAAAGCATTTCATCAAATCTTCCATATACCTGTTATAATATTTCGTAATATGTTTTATATAAGTCGTGTTTCAAGTGATACTTTATTCATTGGTAAATAATCCTTGGCTCCAATAAGCTTTATCTTATCCTGAACTTAAAATAGAGGTTTGCCTCCATCATTTCCACTATAAAAGGTAGTTTTAGCATTTCGTCTTTAAGCAATTAGAAATTTGCTGAATATAAAAATATATTCACCTCAATTCTTTTTAACAGCATATTCATTCGAAAACTGATATAATATCTAACGATATAACTAGATACGTTATTCCACCGACAGGTCAAATTGACCCTAGCTTTGCTCTAGTGATTATGCTTGGATGTGCTATTTGAACTATTAAATGAAATGGATATCGTACCTCAGATTAACTTTCATTTGCATTCCCTCATTTTATTCTTAAAGTGTCCATTTCCTGGAGAAAGTGAAGAGGAGATTTTTGAAAGCATCACCAAACTTGATGTCCGATACCCTCGCCACCTGAGCATGGAGGCCACGGTGATCATGCGACGGCTAATGCGTCGAAATCCTGCGCAGCGCCTTGGATCTGGGGTCCGAGACGCTGAGGACGTAAAACGGCAGCCATTTTTTCGTGGTATTGATTTCGATGCCCTCCTTGCTCGACAAATCAAACCACCTTTTGCCCCTATTGTGGTAAGTACCGGTTACGAGACATCTTTCTTAGGTTTACAATTTATTCCTCAGGATATATCGCTCCTCGCAATTGTGCTATCGCCTTCACTTGCATTCCTATCCTAATTATGGAGCTTATCATTATGGTTTCAAGCACATTACCACTAGAGTTAATGAAACCTTATTGGGGAGAACTCTGCCTTTACGAGCTATACTTTTTCTGTCATTTTTATTCTAATAATAACAACTTAAAATGAAAATTTAGCTTTTGGTGCACAATAGGATCACACTCATTAAGGCTGTTTTTTTAAGAAAGTATATCCTTGTAAGCTTAAGAATTGGCATTAAGACAACTCTTCCAATGATGTACATTAGCTCCGTTTTTATTGCGAATAATATTATGTTGCTTAACATTCATTACATTTTGACC